GTCCCTCCTATTGTCCCTCCAACTGTCCCTCTCACTGTCCCTCCAACTGTCCCTCTCACTGTCCCTCCAACTGTCCCTCTCACTGTCCCTCCAACTGTCCCTCCAACTGTCCCTCTCACTGTCCCTCTCACTGTCCCTCCAACTGTCCCTCCAACTGTCCCTCTCACTGTCCCTCCAACTGTCCCTCTCACTGTCCCTCCAACTGTCCCTCTCATTGTCCCTCCAACTGTCCCTCTCACTGTCCCTCCAACTGTCCCTCTCACTGTCCCTCTCACTGTCCCTCCAACTGTCCCTCCAACTGTCCCTCTCACTGTCCCTCCAACTGTCCCTCTCACTGTCCCTCCAACTGTCCCTCTCACTGTCCCTCTAACTGTCCCTCTCACTGTCCTTCCTATTGTCCCTCCCACTGTCCCTCCAACTGTCCCTCTCACTGTCCCTCCAACTGTCCCTCTCACTGTCCCTCCAACTGTCCCTCTCACTGTCCCTCCAACTGTCCCTCCAACTGTCCCTCTCACTGTCCCTTCAACTGTCCCTCTCACTGTCCCTCCTACTGTCCCTCTCACTGTCCCTCCAACTGCCCCTCTCACTTTCCCTCCAACTGTCCCTCCAACTGTCCCTCTCACTGTCCCTCCAACTGTCCCTCTCACTGTCCCTCCAACTGTCCCTCTCACTTTCCCTCCAACTGTCCCTCCAACTGTCCCTCCAACTGTCCCTCCAACTGTCCCTCCAACTGTCCCTCCTACTGTCCCTCCAACTGTCCCTCTCACTGTCCCTCACACTGTCCCAGTGTCACTTGACCATCTCCTGATCATTGATGCCTTCTACACAGGGACTCGTATGTCAAGAATTAATTAAAACCAAGTCTCTTACAAAGCCAGACTACTCTCCTGCTTTTGCTTCCGGGAGGATGAACCACAGCTCTTGGGTCCCGCCTCGTAATGCTTAACAGACTGGTGTATAGCTTCCACGGAATATTGGGCTGTCATGTATACAGTTGAAGTTGTGTGTGGAGTCTGTTTTGAAAATGCCTTTCTGCTTTCACTCTGAGGTACTCATTCCTGGCCCTCGAGTTCCCAGAAGCTGACTTATCACTGGCCTCTCCTGCTTGTCCAGGAATGTCATCTTGGTGGTGAGGAAGGCCAGCTTAGGAATGAGAGAGATATAAGGGTGTGGCTGGTCTGAGGGATGGGAGGATATAACTATAAGCAGGGAGAGCAGGATTATCCCAAGTTGGTATATGGGGTTAGTAACTACTGCTAGGGTGGTTGTGATGGTGCTTACATATCAGTGACTACGGGGGAGTGGGGTTCTAGCTCCTCATGCCCCGCCTGCTGCCCTTGTTGTACCTCTCGTGTTAAAACTTCCCTATTCTAACAATCACTATCTTCGTCGAACCTTTCCGTAAAGTTGTGGCTGGAGGTGGCTTCCACAACCTCTTCTCTCAGTACACTCCACATGTTGACCAGCCGTACAGGGCACCAGTATTTCCTTACATTTCTTCCACTCATTTACCACTCCAACTTCCACCTGTGTCCTCTTGTTCTACTTTGTTTTAAGTTAAAGAAGCTGTCCTTGTCCACCTTGTCTGTTCCCTGCAGTATCTTGTACGTTGTTATCATATCTCCTCTATTTATTCTTTCCTTCACGATTGTGAGATCCAGTTCCTTCAGCCTGTCCTCATAACTTAACCCTCTCAGCTCTGGCACTAATCTAGTTGCAAACCTTTGCACTTTTCGATTTTACTTTTGTTTCACAAATATGGCTTCCAAGCAGGTGCTGCATATTCCAGTACTGCTCTAAGAAATGCTGTGTAAATCCTGATTTAGGTTTCTAAACTACGTTCTAATGTTTGGCAGCGTCTCATATTCTGCTGATGACACTCTGCCTGTGTGTGCCTCTTGTGTTAGGAATGGAATTATATCTACTCCCAAATCTTCTTTATTCTCCAATTCCTGCATTTGTCTTTTATTAATGGTGTAGACACCATCCGGTCTTCCTTCTCCCTTCCCAACCTTCATTACCTTACACTTATTAGGATTGAACTCCAGCAACTATTTGTGTGTCCACTCCTGGAGTTTATTAAGACCATTCTGTAACATTCTGCAGTCGTCCTCTGTTTTTACAGAGGAGTGAGATCGGGGCATCCTTCACAAACACTGACATGTACCAGCTCACTCCCTCGGGGAGATCATTAATGGTTGTATTTATACTTATATACACATAAATATATGTTCTTATATTCTTGTACAGCCACTAGCACGCACAGCGTTTCGGGCAGGTCAATAATCCTAATTTTCACTCACACACACATCCCCAGGAAGCAGCCCGTAGCAGCTGTCTAACTCCCAGGTACATATTTACTGCTAGGTGAACAGTTGCATCAGGGCGAAAGAAACTTTACCTATTTGTTTCCGCCTCCACCGGGAATCGAATCCAGACCCTTAGGACTACGAACCCGAGCACTGTCCATTCAGCCGTCAGGTCCTACTATTAACATAAATTAGGAGCAGTAGTGGTCCCAAGACCGATCCTTGAGGGGGAGGGACCCTATTTGATACCTGCTTGATGGGGTTCTGGGAGTTCTTCTACTCCCCAAGCCCGACCTTACTTGTGAGAACTTGGTCCACCAGGCTGTTGCTTGGAGCGGCCCGCAGGCCCACATACCCATCACAGCCCGGTTGGTCCGGCACTCCTTGGAGAAAACATATAGTCGCTGGGAGGATGTTGACTACCGCGGACCTCTGATGTTTATACAGTGTTCTCTGATTGTGCCTATGGCACCTCTGCTCTTCACTGGTTCTATTCTGCATTTTCTTCCATATTGTTCACTCCAGTATGTTGTTATTTTACTGTGTAGATTTGGGGCCTGGCCCTCCAGTATTTTCCATGTGTATATTATTTGGTATCTCTCTCGTCTCCTTTCTAGAGAGTACATTTGGAGAGCTTTGAGACGATGCCAATAATTTAGGTGCTCTATTGCGTCTATGTATGCCGTATATGTTCTCTGTATTCCCTCTATTTCAGCAATCTCTCCTGCTCTGAAGGGGGAAGTGAGTACTGAGCAGTACTCAAGACGGGACAACACAAGTAGACTTACACACACGGAGACCTACGAGTCTCCGTGGTGTAGTGGTAAGACACTCGCCTGGCGTTCCGCGAGCGCTTTGTCATGGGTTCGTATCCTGGCCGGGGAGGATTTACTGGGCGCAATTCCTTAACTGTAGCCTCTGTTTAACGCAACAGTAAAATGTGTACTTGGTTGTAACAACGATTCTTCGCGGCGGGGATCGTATTCCAGGGACCTGCCCGAAACGCTACGCGTACTAGTGGCTGTACAAGAATGTAACAACTCTTGTATATAACTAAAAAAAATAACAGTGTTTTGACAACCCCATTTGTTACATTCCACTGCTGGAGACCTCGCTTCTGATTGACTGTCTGTCTTCTGTCCTTCAGGTATTCCCTTACACAGTTTACTGTCTTTCCAATTATCCCAGTTTGTTTCTCTATCTTGTTCGCCAGCCTTTCATGAGCAACAGTATGAAATGCTTTTTGACAGTCTTGGAAATTCAATCTACCCATCTTTTTTTTCTGTCGTATTGTAGTAACCTTGTCATAGAACTACATCAAGTTTGTGAGGAATGACTTTCCCTTTCTAAAGCCACGCTACCGGTCTGTTACACAGCTTATCTTCTCTAGATGCTCCAGTGTTCTTCCCCTGATGACTCTCTCTAGCACTGTGTAAGGAATACTTGTCAGTGACACTGGTCTGTAACTAAGGCCTCATGTCTGTCCCCTTTCTTGAATATTGAGACTATTTTTATCTTCATCCATAATTCTGGAAGAATTCCTCTTTGGAGTGTTTTATTAAAGACCTCAGTTAGTGGGTGACATAATGCGTCAGCAGCCTCCTTCAGCAGCCATGGTGATATTAAGTCTGGCAAAATTAATTTTGCTATGTCTAGTTCCTTCGGGTGTTTTTTAACTACTTCCACTGTGACTACTATGTCATCCTGTGTTTCCTCTGACCTTTCATCACTCGACTCTGGTCTCCACATTTGATCCACTGGAAAGTCCTCCTGGAATATTTTGTTTAATTTCTCACACACACATCCTTGTCGTTTTCTGTAAGGTATTCCTTTACCTTTTTAGCCTTATTACGGGACCTCTGACAGTTTTTTCTCATTTGGTTGTTCAAGAGCTTTGGTTGGTCCTTAGCTTTTGCATCCATGTCATTTTCAAACTGTCTCTCAGCTTCCCTCTTGACTCTGGAGTAATTATTTATTTGTCTCTAAGTGCTTCTCTATTTTCCTCTGATGGTAGGTAGCCCTCTGTAGTGTTTCCATGCTTCTCTGTTCCACTCCCGTGCTCCTCTGGCCTGCCTGTTGAACCAGGGCCTTACTTTGCTTCTGTCATCCTCCTCCTCCTGCTGGAGCGCGATGATCACCAAGCTACGTGTCAAAATATAAAGAAACATGACGTTTTGGTCCGTCCTGGACCATTAATAAGTCGTGTATTGGGATATGTTTTGAGAGGGATGTGTCTTGAGTGGGATGTACATGAGTGGGATGTGTCATGAGGGGGATGTGTCATGAGTGGGATGTGTCATGAGTGGGATGTGTCATGAGTGGGATGTGTCATGAGTGGGGTGTGTCATGAGTGGGATGTGCCATGAGTGGGATGTTCCATGAGTGGGATGTGTCATGAGTGGGATGTGTCATGAGTGGGTTGTGTCATGAGTGGGTTGTGTCATGAGTGGGATGTACATGAGTGGGATGTACATGAGTAGGATGTACATGAGTGGGATGTCATGAGTGGGATGTCATGAGTGGGATGTGTCATGAGTGGGATGTGTCATGAGTGGGATGTGTCATGAGTGGGATGTGTCATGAGTGGGGTGTGTCATGAGTGGGGTGTGTCATGAGTGGGGTGTGTCATGAGTGGGGTGTGTCATGAGTGGGGTGTGTCATGAGTGGGGTGTGTCATGAATGGGATGTGTCATGAGTGGGATGTGTCATGAGTGGGATGTCTTGAGTGGGATGTACATGAGTGGGATGTACATGAGTGGGATGTACATGAGTGGGATGTACATGAGTGGGATGTCATGAGTGGGATGTCATGAGTGGGATGTGTCATGAGTGGGATGTGTCATGAGTGGGATGTGTCATGAGTGGGATGTACATGAGTGGGATGTACATGAGTGGGATGTCATGAGTGGGATGTCATGAGTGGGATGTTCCATGAGTGGGATGTGTCATGAGTGGGATGTGTCATGAGTGGGTTGTGTCATGAGTGGGTTGTGTCATGAGTGGGTTGTGTCATGAGTGGGATGTACATGAGTGGGATGTACATGAGTGGGATGTCATGAGTGGGATGTGTCATGAATGGGATGTCTCATGAGTGGGATGTGTCATGAGTGGGGTGTGTCATGAGTGGGATGTGCCATGAGTGGGATGTGCCATGAGTGGGATGTGTCATGAGTGGGATGTGCCATGAGTGGGAGCTTGGTGTTCGTGAGCTCTCAGCTCGGAATTTGTCTCAGAGTTCTGTATTTGACTAACCTCATCTGGTAATTTAGAACCTTATGTTCATTTTTTATCTTTATTTAATAAAATACAGTATAAATCATGTATACATACGGATGTTTGCAGAGTGGAACGAGTGTTACCGTCGTACGTCAGGCGCGTGTTAACGTACCAGGAAGATGTCGTGCCAGTGTTACCGTCGTACGTCAGGCGCGTGTTAACGTACCAGGAAGATGTCGTGCCAGTGTTACCGTCGTACGTCAGGCGCGTGTTAACGTACCAGGAAGATGTCGTGCCTGTGTTACCATCGTACGTCAGGCCCGTGTTAACGTACCAGGAAGATGTCGTGCCAGTGTTACCGTCGTACGTCAGGCGCGTGTTAACGTACCAGGAAGATGTCGTGCCAGTGTTACCGTCGTACGTCAGGCGCGTGTTAACGTACCAGGAAGATGTCGTGCCAGTGTTACCGTCGTACGTCAGGCGCGTGTTAACGTACCAGGAAGATGTCGTGCCAGTGTTACCGTCGTACGTCAGGCGCGTGTTAACATACCAGGAAGATGTCGTGCCAGTGTTACCGTCGTACGTCAGGCGCGTGTTAACGTACCAGGAAGATGTGCCAGTGTTACCGTCGTACGTCAGGCGCGTGTTAACGTACCAGGAAGATGTCATGCCAGTGTTACCGTCGTACGTCAGGCGCGTGTTAACGTACCAGGAAGATGTCGTGCCAGTGTTACCGTCGTACGTCAGGCGCGTGTTAACGTACCAGGAAGATGTCATGCCAGTGTTACCGTCGTACGTCAGGCGCGTGTTAACGTACCAGGAAGATGTCGTGCCAGTGTTACCGTCGTACGTCAGGCCCGTGTTAACATACCAGGAAGATGTCGTGCCAGTGTTACCGTCGTACGTCAGGCCCGTGTTAACATACCAGGAAGATGTCGTGCCAGTGTTACCGTCGTACGTTAGGCGCGTGTTAACGTACCAGGAAGATGTCGTGCCATTGTTACCGTCGTACGTCAGGCGCGTGTTAACATACCAGGAAGATGTCGTGCCAGTGTTACCGTCGTACGTTAGGCGCGTGTTAACGTACCAGGAAGATGTCGTGCCTGTGTTACCGTCGTACGTCAGGCGCGTGTTAACGTACCAGGAAGATGTCGTGCCAGTGTTACCGTCGTACGTCAGGCCCGTGTTAACATACCAGGAAGATGTCGTGCCGAGCACATGACATGCAAGAGACGAGGGCCTGTAATTACCGGATCACTTCGTGTCATCAATAAACAACCTCAAGCTTTACTCTTGCATTTCATTACCACCAAACCTGCGACGCCTTGCTTTATTCTGGTGACTCGTTGGCATGCGGTATTTCTGGCACAACTTGAATTGTCAGCTAAAGGGCGAAGTCAATCACTAAATAACACGGGCCCAGGTGAACATGTCTGGTGACATCCGTACTCTCGGGGTAATTTCTCTCTCTCTCTCTCTCTCCTCTCTCTCTCTCTCTCTCTCTCTCTCTCTCTCTCTCTCTCTCTCTCTCTCTCTCTCTCTCCTCTCTCTCTCTCTCTCTCTCTCTCTCTCTCTCCTCTCTCTCGCTCTCTCTCTCTCTCTCTCTCTCTCTCTCTCTCTCTCTCTCTCTCTCTCTCTCTCTCTCTCTCTCTCTCTTCTCTCTCTCTCTCTCTCTCTCTCTCTCTCTCTCTCTCTCTCTCTCTCTCTTCTCTCTCTCTCTCTCTCTCTCTCCTCCTCCTCTCTCTCTCGCTCTCTCTCTCTCTCTCTCTCTCTCCTCTCTCTCTCTCTCTCCTCTCTCTCTCTCTCTCTCTCTCTCTCTCTCTCTCTCTCGCTCTCTCTCTCTCTCTCTCTCTCTCTCTCTCTCTCTCTCTCTCTTCTTCCTCTCTCTCTCTCTCCTCTCTTCTCTCTCTCTCTCTCTCCTCTCTCTCTCTCTCTCTCTCTCTCTCTCTCTCTCTCTCTCTCTCTCTCCTCTCTCTCTCTCTCTCTCTCTCTCTCTCTCTCTCTCTCTCTCTCTCTCTCTCTCTCTCTCTCTCTCTCTCTCTCTCTCTCTCTCTCACCTCACACACACACACACACACACACACACACACACACACACACACACACACACACACACACACACACACACATTCTTTGTCACTCGCTCAAGGAATTCTCGCTTGAGATGTCATTTGGACGTTACAAGCTATGAGCTCCAAGTTTACAGATTAGCCGTGTTATGGTCGTGATCAGTGACTTACTAATGCTGTTGGAGGCTGCTCAACAGTCTTAGATCAAGGGTCAGGGGTCAAAGGTCTGAGGTCAGGAGTCAGGGGGTCAGAGCTGGGGCTGTGACTGACGGCACCTTCCCCAAAACCACACCCAAGAAACTAGCATACCACAAGGCGAAGTCTCCAGACCAAAGCTGTTCAGTACCTTGAAGGAGGCGATATTTAGCGCGAACCTGCAGCCACATATGAGGTCATTAGCTGCGTGGGCGACCTTGCATGACCCCACAGTGCCACCGTCAGCCCACACTCCCACAGTGCCACCCTCAGCCCACACTCCCACAGTGCCACCGTCAGCCCACACTCCCACAGTGCCACCGTCAGCCCACACTCCCACAGTGCCACCGTCAGCCCACACTCCCACCGTGCCACCGTCAGCCCACACTCCCACAGTGCCACCGTCAGCCCACACTCCCACAGTGCCACCGTCAGCCCACACTCACACAGTGCCACCGTCAGCCCACACTCCCACAGTGCCACCGTCAGCCCACACTCCCACAGTGCCACCGTCAGCCCACACTCCCACAGTGCCACCGTCAGCCCACACTCCCACAGTGCCACCGTCAGCCCACACTCCCACAGTGCCACCGTCAGCCCACACTCCCACAGTGTCACCCTCGACCACACTCCCACAGTGTCACCCTCGACCACACTCCCACAGTGCCACCCTCGACCACACTCCCACAGTGCCACCCTCGGCCCACACTCCCACAGTGCCACCCTCGGCCACACTCCCACAGTGCCACCCTCGGCCCACTCTCACACAGTGCCACCCTCGACCACACTCCCACAGTGCCACCCTCGGCCCACACTGCCACAGTGCCACCCTCGGCCCACAGTGCCACCCTCAGCCCACACTCCCACAGTGCCACCCTCGGCCCACATTCCCACAGTGCCACCCTCGACCCACACTCCCACAGTGCCACCCTCGACCCACACTCCACAGTGCCACCCTCGGCCCACACTCCCACAGTGCCACCCTCGGCCACACTCCCACAGTGCCACCCTCGGCCCACTCTCACACAGTGCCACCCTCGACCACACTCCCACAGTGCCACCCTCGGCCCACACTCCCACAGTGCCACCCTCGTCCCACATTCCCACAGTGCCACCCTCGGCCCACACTCCCACAGTGCCACCCTCGACCCACACTCCCACAGTGCCACCCTCGTCCCACACTCCCACAGTGCCACCCTCGACCCACACTCCCACAGTGCCACCCTCGACCCACACTCCCACAGTGCCACCCTCGACCCACACTCCCACAGTGCCACCCTCGGCCCACACTGCCACAGTGCCACCCTCGGCCCACACTCCCACAGTGCCACCCTCGACCCACACTCCCACAGTGCCACCCTCGACCCACACTCCCACAGTGCCACCCTCGACCCACACTCCCACAGTGCCACCCTCGTCCCACATTCCCACAGTGCCACCCTCGGCCCACACTCCCACAGTGCCACCCTCGACCCACACTCCCACAGTGCCACCCTCGGCCCACACTGCCACAGTGCCACCCTCGACCCACACTCCCACAGTGCTACCCTCGTCCCACATTCCCACAGTGCCACCCTCGACCCACACTCCCACAGTGCCACCCTCGACCCACACTCCCACAGTGCCACCCTCGACCCACACTCCCACAGTGCCACCCTCGACAACACTCCCACAGTGAATCACCACGTGGGAGACGACGACGGAGCACTTCGTCATCCAGCATCGTAATTATTCACCTGGTTGTGTGAGCGGGAGGCTGACAGGTAGGTACACCTCTCTGGTCAATTCTTCAGGTGTACTGAGGTAAAATATTACCAAATTCTTGTTCAGTATATCAGATACATTTAAAATATCAAAGTGGCTCATTTTGGGTAGAGGTTGACATTTTACGGGACCCCCGTAACACACGCACGTATGTTTCCAAACACACACACGCACGCACATGCAAAAACAAACACATGCACAAACGCACGCACATGCAAAAACAAACACATGCACACACGCACAAGCATGCACACACACATACACCCAGTCAGGCTAGAAAGGATTAACACCTTTCATGGAAAGGGGGGATAAAACCTCACTCATAATTCACCCCCTCTCTTACCCCTTCTCTTACCCCCTCTCTTACCTGCCGTAATCTGCAGAAACCTCACCTCCTCTTAAGCCCCATCCCACGCGCACACACGCACACACACACATTCTCTCTGTCTGTCTGTCTGTCTGTCTCTCTCTCTCTCTCTCTCTCTCTCTCTCGCTCTCTCTCTCCTGCTCTCTCTCTCTTGTTCTCTCTTGTTCTCTCTCTCTCTTGCTCTCTCTTGCTCTCTTGCTCTCTCTCTTGCTCTCTCTCTTGACAAGGGGCAAAATGGCAGAAGGATGCAACAGGGACACAGGGAACAGCCAGAGTGACCAAACGAAGGAAATGTTAACCCAAGTTCTGGAGGAATTCAGGAGGGAGATGCATGAAATGAGGATTACAATTAACAATCTGCAAAGTGAGCTGACATCAGCAAGGGAGGAGATCAAATCCCTCACAGAGAAAAATAAAGAGACCGAGCATCAGATTATCATCCAAAGGGAAGGTGGGAATGTTACATTGGAAGGAAATGCCTCTGTACCTGAAACATTTGTGGAAAGACTGAAAAAGAGCTCAGAAGCAATGGACACAGTGAGGGAGGTTGCGATGCAAGCAGCAACCTCACAGGAAGCAGCAAGGTACACCACTCAGCTGCTGGAGTGAAAAAGATCAGGGGTAGTTGTAGGCATCAAAGAACAGGAAGGATCCAACAGGCAAGAATGGAATAGCAAGGATAGAGAGGCAGTACATGGGCTACTGAAGGGGTTACAGATGGAAGGGGCTGAACAAAACATTGAGAAGGTTTTCAGGTTGGGCTGGTACAACAAGGACAGAAACCGACTTGTAAAGGTGGTGTTTACAAACGAAACCACGAAGGAGGATATTCTCGAAAGGAAGAGACGTCTGCAGCATGTGGAGGGATACAAAAAAGTATTCTTGCTGAGGGACAGGACGAAGGAGGAGAGAGCCAGAGCAGCAGAGGCAAGGAGGAAGCGCAGGGAGAGAGGAGCAAACCAGGAAATCACAGCCCCCAACACAACAGTCCCAGAGACAAGAGGGGAACCCAAAACCAGCATCCCAGCAACACCAGAGGTGAGGGCAACACCACCACAACCCCTCTGCATAGAAACCTTCCCTTCCCCTCACCCTACCTGCCACCACCCAACCCTCCCTCCACCCCCACTCCATTCTGACCCTGTCACCCCTTCCCCATTCCCATCATGTCCCCCCTCCCACCTTTCCTCCCCTGTCCCCCCTCCCTATCCCTCCTCCCTCCTCACCCCATATCCTCCATGTCCCCCCCCCCTATCTCCTTAACCCACACCCTACCTGTCCCCCCTTCCCTTAATCCTCCACCCCCCACCCCAAAATCCTCCGAGACCCTGCAAACCACTTCACAGATCTCCTCACCCACAGAACAGCTTCCCACACCAGCAGAATGCTCGCCAAGAAAGGGACAAGAAAATGAACAAAAGAAAGTGAGCTTCAAGGATAATGTACACTAACATAGATGGGATTACAAATAAAACAAGTGAACTCAGAGAATGGGCACTAGAAGAAAACCCAGACATAATAGCACTCACAGAAACAAAGCTAACGAAAATCATCACAAACGCAGTGTTTCCACAGGGCTACTATGTAGTGAGGAAAGAATGAGAAGCGAGAGGAGGAGGTGGTGTAGCTTTGCTACTAAGAGAAGGTTGGAGTTTCGAAGAGATGGTAATTCAGAACTGTGAAGGTTTCAGTGACTACATATCAGGCACCATAGCAACTGAAGGACAGAAAATTATAGTAGTAGTCATATATAACCCCCCAGCGAAAGACAGAAGACCCAGACAGGAATATGATAGAAACAACTTGACCACCATCAATATCATAAAG